TGTCAATTTCCCCCTGGGAACTCCCTTGGTCAAGATATCAGCCAGCTGCTCTTCTAATGTGATAAATGGTAAACAAACTTCTCCTGAAGAGACTCTTTCCCTTATGAAATGCCTATCAACCTCAATGTGCTTAGTTCTGTCATGTTGAACAGGATTATAGTTTAACCCAAATGTTGAGGGGGGATTTTGCAGAGGTCAATGGTCAGGTGATGTTAAAGCAACTGTCAGAAACTACATGGGTGGTTTAAATAATTTACCATAAAATTAATCTTGATCTATTTTTTTGTTGGAGTAGTCCAAGTTCTTATGTCGAAAGTTTCTTTTCAAAGTCAATTTTCTCTCCCTCCAAGAGAAGGGAGGAAATGATGTGGAGATGTGCATGTCTGGCCATTTTTCTGATCTATTTGGTAGGAAAGAGATGCTAGAATATTCAAAGATTCAACTCATTGTAAAGAAGTAATGATAGGGAGTGTGATGGTTAATGTGGCTTGTTGGGTAAATTCATGAAGATGTTTCATTCTCTTTAAGGCCCTGTTCATTTCTCAGTAAATAGAGGGTTAGAAAGTTGGACAATGGGGAAGTTGTTCCTGTTGACTAACAATCCCATGTTTGCTTTTCAGTCCCATGGGTATCACTTGGGTATCACTTACCGTAAGTGATACCCATCTTCCAGGTGGATACGTAACTTTCCCACCCGGAGGGAAGTTTCCAAAACATTATGGGATAAAATTGCCCCTTCTAATAGTGAAAATTTATGGGTAAAAATGGTATATTGTTTAACTTACCTTGGAAACACTTTTGATCAAAAAAACATGGGCAAATGCATTTACCTGGGTACGTACTAAAGTAAGTGCATATACCCAGGCAAATGACTTGGTAAAAAACGAATGGGGCCTAAATAATACTACCCGAAGTTAGGAAATAGTGGGACTATCATCTGCATCAAGCACTTAAATCTTACCCTTTTTGGAGCTCACCAGCAGCTCATATTGTCAAGTTAAATTTTGATGATTGTTGTTTATGTAATCCAAGTTGTTTGGGTATAGCCAGGAGTGTTTAGAGATAGATAAGGGAATGTTGTGGCCATCTATTCTTAGGCCTATTGGCCATGGCAACTCAATAAGTCAGAGGTGCAAAGGCTGAGAGTGGCTATACTTGATTATAAAAATCTTTTAGTTGAAGTGGATTCAAGAGTATTTTTGAATGTGAGTTTAATAATAATGAAATTTTGCTCTTGGATCTACAGACACAACAAGAGAACCACAACGTTTTGGCTAAGGAGGTGAGAACAATATTTAGATGGACAATATAATCAACTAATAGCTTAGCAGATGCACTAACTAGACAATGGAATCAATAGAAGGAAGTTATTTTGGGGGGTCATGTAAACTGATGCTAGCCTGAAGTTCTAAAGGGAGTGCTTGGCACATCTTGTACCATATCTCATTCTTTTCCAAAATTTATAAAGATCATCATTACCAATAAAATGCATTACTTTAAATAGCATTGTTTGCAGGACCTATTGGGTGTACAACTTAATAAGAGTTAAGATGTTTAACTGTTGTGCAAGGATTGAGGGTGACAAGACAGCTGAATTTGAAAGATATTACTATGGAAGGAGACTCTAAAGTTGTAATTAAATGGTTGAGGAACAACAGCAACACAATATAGCAGCATGGACAAGTAACCAAGGGGATAAATTGGCTGAGTACTGGAGCAGTTCTAGCCTTTCAATTGGCGTGAAGATCAGCAAATTCAATGGCAGATGCTTTGACTAAATAAGGAGAACAAATGTTTTGGGCCTAACTGTAATGCCATAAATTTGGGATAAGCGGCTAGTCTGACCTATATGTAGGGCCTTTGAGCTCTTAGCTTTGTACATTATTTGTTGTTTTTGAGTTTAATAAAATATTGTTACCTATAAGAAAATGAATAGCGCATTCCTTAAAACAACATTTCTACCATTCACTTTTAAAATCTCACCACTGGTAGAACCAGCTTCAGCACCCTTAGACCTTATTACTAGTGCCTCAGATCTGATACTAGGTATTCGTCATTTTTCATAGATTTACCTTTACATTTTCCCTTGAGGCCCTGAACTACCTAGGTATTGGTTCTACTGCTGCATGATTACTAGGATGTGAGAGATTCACGGTTTTGTTCTATCATTAAAAATGGTACAATTCTTTCACCATGAAATGAATTATATTATGTCATGTAATGACAATCGGTTCTTCTGCTGCACTAGAACCAAGCTGTTATTCCACATTGCTAATTGCCTATGAATTCACTTAGAGAGTTCAATTTCTATGATCTTAAAGGTTTACTGATGATTTAATTATTTCATAAATATATTAGTTGATAACTGTAATTGTTAAAAGAAGCATTTTAAAATAAATTCAGTGGTTTGTTTCAGGCTGCAGCAATTAGATTGGAAGTTAGAGGTGGCGAATGGAAACATTCTTATATGCAGATGGATGGTGAACCATGGAAACAACCAATGAGCAATCAATTTTCAACATTTGTGGAGATAAGGAGGGTGCCGTATCAATCTCTAATGATCAGGGGAGAATGATCTTGCTAGTTTGTCATCAACTCGGTTTACTACACAACAGTATCTTAGATTGTTATAATCTGGATACATGTAAAGCATTTGTTGCCAAGGGCTTGTAGTATATGGTCTGCAGAATTACTAGCTATTTGGATTATGTTATATTGAGTTCATTATTAGTGCATTCCGTGTATTTAAACTTCTTTCTACACAGCAATAAACGAACCACAGTGAACGCAAGTACCTCACCATTCTGTACGTCTATGATTCGAGGGCAAGTCTATTTCACTTTTGAGATAGATATATCAAGGCTTAATAAATGCATTCATTTTTTTTTTCTATTTAATTTATTTGGAGTGGGATATCTTGATTCTTGAGGTTGTGGAGTTCATGATATTGGAAGAGCAATTATCGATTTTGCATGTTCACTCTACTTCAGTTGGGGCTACAAACAGAATCCCATTGTCTAAATTTGGATTTGAATTCCATTACATAAGTGGTGATTGAACTTGGATTACTAACAGTGTTCTATTTTTTGTTCCTCCATAGGAAGGGTGTTCTTTTGTCGCCAGATTGAAATCTGGGGTCCTGGGTTATGTGGGATCACTACCTGCTAAGTCCTGCTAAGTCAGTTGTCTATGGGAGGGGTGTTTTACTTAAGAGGGTTCATTTGTTCGGGTATTTAAAGAAGACAGCTTGCGAGTCCTCTCCATGAACTCCTAAAGCATTCCTTTTTGAAGGGATCTCATCACTAGAATCTCACTGCACATGTATGGTGCAAACAAGATATGTAAATAGGCAATCAAATCTGATCATAACTAAACACATCAATAATCTCTACTATTAGTAGATGTGGCAACGACGATGTGTTTACTTTTGATTGGGTTTTCTGGCCCATGTGATAAATCTTGTTTTGCGAGAGATCCACGCTCTGGTTTGACCGTTCTTGGCAAAATCAAGGATACAATAATGAGTTCTACATTTATGGAACTATAAAAGCTCGAAAAGTAAAAGCCATCGCAAATTATTGATTTGTGTTTATTAGAAGGATATAAGAAGGAAAGGACGACTACAGGAGAAGTTTAAAAGGTTTGAAGGCATATGCCTAATGATGCATCCTAGAGAGAGAGAGAATTAATGAGGTGGAGACACTTTGCACAAGGCTGTTGGGATTGAGGGCAAGGTTCAAAATATCGATATGCCCGATATGCCGGTGGGGGTGTACCGGGCGATATCGATAGTGTTTTCAACCCTTTTTTTTATTATTTTTTTCAAAACCGGTTCAGGGGGGGCCGGTTTAAGGCTCCTCCACCCCCTGAACTGGTCAGAACCCCGATACACCCCCTGTAGGGGCGTATTGGGAAGCCATTGGCATGATACATATCGGCCAATACGGGCCGATATGTATCGATACTTTGAACCTTGATTGGGGGTGGGTGGAGAGGAATTCAAAGAGGGTTGGATACAATTTATGTTGTTAAATGAGGGGTTTGTTCTAGAGATTACCAAGTCTTAATGAAGTGGATTCCCTGTTTACCAGAAAAAGGTGAATTCCAGATCTTGATTTGAGCAGATTTGAAATCCCTACAGGGGTGACACATTTTAGATATCAATTTCAGGCAGATTTGAAATAAATGGACCTTCCATTTCATTTTCATTCTTTAGGCTCCCATTTAATGTAAATATTTACGCCAGTTCAATTTTGTCGGCGTTTGGAATGAGTGTAAATCAAGATCGTCGTAAAATTTCACTCTGTTTCAGTTTTGTCGGTGTTTGGATGGAGTGGAGTTTTATGTCGTAAATCGATGTAAAACTTCATCTAAAGTAGATTTTACATCGTATTGATGTAAATACTACACTGATAAAATCGATGTAAAACTTTTCTTTTCTCATCATACTTTTCGAAAATCAAAACTGTCACTTTTTACAGGTTGATGTAATTGTCATTGATATACTTTTACACCAATGACCTTTTACATCAGTTCCAAACACAGCCTTAGGTTCTGTTTGGTAAGAGTACAAATATGCACAGTGCATATACAAAATGTATTTATACAGCTATTGTTCCACTCTTTTAAAACCCCTACTCTTGGTAAGCAAACATCAAACGTCCCGTAGTACTGTTGGGTTTGTAAGTTGCATCACTTAATTGGTAGACCAGTTTTAATTAAGCATGGATGTTGCAAGTGAGAAATTTGTTTTCATTTTAATTACTTGAATTTTAGATATATTATAGTTAAGATAGAAATTGAAAATTAACAAAAGTAACAATATGATTAAAAATAAACTTAAATGCTTGTAATAAATGTGCACGTGCATTGTATGTGGAAATTTTAAATTACAAAAACAATTATTATTATTAAATTTTGTCATAAATTTTGTGTTTGGTGAGAGTACAAATATGCACAGTGCATATACAAAATGTATTTATACACAGCTATTGTTCCACTCTTTTGAAACCCCTACTCTTGGTAAGCAAACATCAAACGTCTCGTAATACTGTTGGGTTTGTAAGTTGTATCACTTAATTGGTAGACCAGTTTTAATTAAGCAAGGACGTTGCAAGTGAGAAATTTGTTTTCATTTTAATTACTTGAATTTTAGATATATCATAGTTAAGATATAAATTGAAAATTAACAAAAGTAACAATATGATTAAAAATAAACTTAAATGCTTGTAGTAAATGTGCACGTGCATTGTATGTGGAAATTTTAAATTACAATAACAATTATTATTATTATTATTATTGTCATTATTATTAAATTTTGTGTTTTATTTTTGTCATAAATAAAAATGATATTTATTTTAATGATTATTTTTATTTAATATGATGAATATACAACATTAGGAATGTTTCCAAATATTTTCGACAAAATTCTGTAATTTTCATTTTTGTATTCTATATTTTTTAAATATTTATTATTCAACTATGACATCATGAGTTTCTTCGAAAAGTTGGACCATTGACCCACCATTTAGATAAGAAAATAACTTTACTTTCGGGTCAGTTTTAATTTATATATTTCATCTATATTATTTAATTATTTTTACTTATCACACTTAAACTTTGGTTGACATAATTAATATATAATTTTTTATATGTTGTTTTGATTACTTGTACTTTTTATTTTTAAAGTTTTATTATTTTATTATCATATCATCGATTAATCCATTTGACCCAAACCATAACCCACCACCCAAAAGGAAAATAGTTTGATTTCTAAGTTGATATTAAATTTTGTATTGCATTTTCATCATTGAAAAAATTATTTCTTATGTATAATACTTTTTTTTTGTTCAACATAATGAATGTATAATATTAGAGATGTACCCAATATTTAATATTTTATAAATATATAATATTAGATATGTGCCCAAAATTTTTTCTATTTTTTATTTTTGTGATTCTTTGTATTTTCTATTCTTAAAAACTTTATCATTTGACTATGACATCATTTCATTTCTAGGTTGATTTTAAATTTGACATTTTATTATCATTAACAAAAATACTTATTTCATTTCATACTTATTTTTGTTTAGTATAATGAATATACAACATTAGAGATATGCCTAATTCTTTTATTTGTGTTATATATTTTATATATTTTAATTTATTTTATTTAATTATGGTATTATTTATTAATCCATTCGATCCCAAATGGTTGAATTGCTTACCCACCACTAGGAAGGAAGAAAATGTTTGTTTTTAAATTATTTTTTCAAAATATTTATTTTTATATCATTAAAATTAATATTGTGGATTTAATTAGTAGAATTTAATGATGAGAAAAATATATCTTAAATATAAGATTTAATGAGAGAATATACCTTGGATATGAGATTTAATGAGGAAATAGGAAAATAGTTTTATTTCCATCATTAATAAAAGCATTTCTTATCTGTCATACTTATTATTGTTTAATACGTCGAATATATGATGCTAAAAATGTTTCCAAATTTTTTAATTTATTATATATATTTTTTGCATTTTATTTATTTTTGAAGTTTATTATCTAATTGTGGCAACATGGACTAGACCATGACCCAATCTGAATTCAAATCAAGTCTTATTTTGTTGGATTCAAATACCCCCTATCAGATTGTTAGGGTCGGAGATCCTACTTCAATACATGTGGAAAGATTTGAGAGATCTGTTGGAACCAAAACTGAAGATGTCGACTTGGCTTGGTCCTTCTACATTACTAACTCACCTTAGTTGCTCCTTTGCGTGGGGACTGGGCTCTTGTCTAACTTCGATTTGGGAGAGGCCCATGCTCCTTCAAGACAAGAATACTAAGTATTTTCTTTGAGTTTCCTCTTACCTCCCTTTTACCTACCCATCTCTAATGATATTAATTGTGTCCACTAGGGGGTATTTATAACCGAGACCACCCCCCTTTCCTTTGAGTTCACATTTGTGCCCCACAACCTCCCACAGCACATCCCCGCCGTGTATTGGAAACATCTTCTGATGATGTATCAGAAATGATGATGTCATCATCGGAAGATGTTCTCAATACAAGGCGGAGATGTGCTGTGGGACGTTGTGGGGCATAGATTTGAACTCCTTTCCCACATTGGAGAGAAATGTGGATTCCAGGTTCCATTATGCCTAGTCACCTCTAGAGATCCCCCTTATCTAAAATCATTACTTCTTGTCCCACACGTTATTCTAGTTTAGTGACTAACAATTCCCGTCTTGATGCAACCACGTTGCATTAATTTCCTTCATAAATGTACGCCACCAACCCCTTGTCCCCAACCCGCTGAGACCAGATTTGCTCCTCACACAGGGCGCCACACACCGACCTCACATGCACATCCTACCATGCATTGGGAACATCTCTCGTACTTATAAGTTATTATWMATGGGAGATGTTCCCAATACACGGTGGATGTGCCTGTGAGGCACCCCTTGTGGGAGGAGCAGATCTCGTTCCCAACCTACTAGACCTTACCCGGTTTGCCATGTTTCGAGGTACCTTGTGCCATTAAGCATGGTATTTATGGTGAAAGACCAACTTGATTCGATACTAAGGCAGGATAATGGGATTGAGGGGCGAACTGCCACCCCAACATGCTTAATCGCACAAGGTACCTGCTAGGCCTTACCCGGTTTGCCATGTTTTGAGGTACCTTGTGCGATTAAGCATGTTGGGGTGGCAGTTCGCCCCTCAATCCCATTATCCTGCCTTAGTATCGAATCATGTTGGTCTTTCACCATAAATACCATGCTCATGAGTCACATCGAGTTTTATTGTTGTATATATATGTGTGTTGATAAAAATAGTTGAAGAAATATTTGTGTTTTTTAATTTGTTAAATTTTATATACCTATGGGTAGT